TGTCATACGTTTCAGTAACAGTTAAAGATAAATATTAACGGTTATGGATAGAAACCACCTAATCTTATCAATAGATATGTATCCATACAGATGCATATCCATACTGATATGTATCAGTATGATACATATCCATATCTATACGTTAACACCCTCCCTCAAACTCAAGATGCTTTGACAATAAGCTGACAATAAGTTGACAATAAGTTGCATCTGAAGTTTGAACAATAAGTTGACAATAAGTTGCATCTGAAGTTTGAACAATAAGTTGCATAAACGAATGAGTTGGATCTTCAAGTTCATGGTGTGACCGATAGAAGGAATGGTCTCCATGCTTAGATTGCTTAAGCAACAAGCACAGATTGCTTGAACAACAAGCACAAAAAAGCGACAGACCTCAGGAATAGACGGCCTCAAGAACATTCGCAATCGAGTAACGAAAAACTCGATCAACAACAGACAAACAAGCCTTCGAAACAGAGGTGAATTTTGCAAATTAGCGATCCTCAGAAACCGACGCTTCGAACAGAGCAGTCTCGCATAACACCAAATCAATAGGCCTCTGGAACAGACAGGATCGAGTAAGGAAAAAAAAAACTTGATCATCACACTGGATGGAGCGACGAAAAACTCCATCATCCAATAGGATTGAGTAACGAAAAACTCAATCATTAAATATGATGGAGTTTTCCGTTGCTCGATCCTGTTTGATGATCGTGTTTTCCGTTACTCGATCATTTTTGATGATCGTGTTTTCCGTTATTCAATCCTGTTTGTTGATTGAGTTTTTTGTTACTCGATCCCGGATATTCCGAATGCTTGTTTGTCTGCTGCTGATCGAGTTTTTTCGTTACTCGATTCTGGATATTCCTGAGGCCATCTGTTCCTGAGGTCTGTCGCTTTTCTGTGCTTGTTGTTCAAATAATCTGTGCTTGTTGTTCAAGCCATCTGAACATAGAGACCACTGCTTCTTTCGGTCACGCTATGAACCTGAAGACCTATGGATACATATCTATATCCATACGTCATACGTTCCAGTAACAATTAAAGATAAATACCAACGGTTATGGATAGAGATTGCCTAATCTTATCAATAGATATATATCCATACAGATGCATATCCATACTGATATGTATCAGTATGATACATATCTATATCCGTACGTTAACAACTATGGAGAGCTTCGATCAAAGATTTGATAGACTCAAAGAAGACTTAGTAGAGCATATTAGCAAAGTAGTAGAACAATGTCTATGAGATCTATTGCATAGATTGCAATCAGAATAAGAGGAACAAGAATATGAAGAGATAGATCTCGATACAAAAGACGACATCGATAACCCCAATGTGCAAGAAATTTTGAAAATCGATTGTGAAGAAGAAGATATGTGTGATGCAATATTCGAAATCCAACAAAGTGAGTCTGAAGGAAAAATCAAGATTGGGCCCGAGATCCCTGTATTCTACTTCAAGATAAGCACAAAGCATTAGATGAATCGGCTTAATGAAGAGATTAAAGGAAAAGTGTCGACGCACATGGTGGGACTACATAACCAATTTTCGAGAAGGCCTCTAATATATTTGAGTTCTATAAGCTCGAGGTCATGCTTCTCCCAACCTGGGATGAATGATGCACATAAGAAAAATTAGGGTTGTTTTTATTTTCTATTTTTATATTTTTATTGTTGAGATTTTGTTATATTTAGCGGATTTAAGATTTTTGGTACGTGAGTTAGTGGGCGTGAGTTGGCTTATATTTTGGTTAAGGAAATAACTTATCTTGATAAGTAGAGGTTATCTTTTAAGTAGAGGTTGTCTTTTATTATCTTTTTAAAAAGAAAAGATAACATGCGATTTAGAGAAAGAGATGGAGATATAGATGACATGGGAGGGAGATAGAGATTACGTGGGAGGAAATAGAGGGAAGTACGTGATGTAGAGAGAAAATAGGGAGATGAAGAGAGAAAATAGGGGCTTGGGAAAAACGTGTGGGAAAATCGTGTAAGCTAGAGAGAGAGAATTTTATAGGTTTTATATTTTTTATTTTGTTTTTAAAGGGAAGAGTCCCTCATTGTAAAGATCAAAGATTGAAATTGAGTAAAACTTGGTCTTGTGAAAAGATCGTTTTCGGGGTGGACTTCTCTGCAGACCTTGAGATATTCTCTCTAACCATTTTATTTTTTTATTTTTATTATTCCAGTTACTTTTTCTCCCTACATCAATTAGAGCCGCATCCTGCATCGAGCGCATCAGGCCGCATAATCTGCTCGCCATGTTTTTAGAAATTAAACCCCTGGGGCAGGGGTAATAAGGTCAATTTGACCTTCGAAAATGCAGGGAAGGGGTTGTGGGGGTATTAAACCCCCGAACATCATTTTCAGCCACATTCGTGGCTTTTATTGGATCGATTGAATCAAAAAAAAAATTTGGACAGAATTTTATTTGTTGAAGTTCTTTGATTTGTGCATTTGTTGATGTGGTTGTTGATTTTTATCTTTTGGGTGTTGATTTGAGAAAGTTTAGGCGAACTTGTGACAACAAATCGGGGTTTCAAAGGCCGTGAAGAAATCGATACTTGCTTCAAGTAAATGATGATGAATGTATTGACTCTTCTTGAGCTTGACTTTTAAACTCTTTAATCTTCATGGACTTTTAGTTTGTTGTATTTTGTAACTTTAGAGTTTGTGGTTGCAGATTTATACTTATGGTAGTTCCTTCTTGAATGTTTTATGAATCTAGTTTCAAGTTTCTAGTTTCTATCAGGGCATAGTAGATACAGAATCTCCGATAGCTGATAATTTTAGAGTTAATGAATAAACTAATTACCTACTATCACATATATCACCTTCATATTTTTTCTATGCATTAACCTTTTTTTTTAGATTTTTAATTATTTTTTTTTATTTTATTGACTGCGTCACGGTGATGCATTCGCATCCGGATTGCATCGAGCTGCATAAACCCACCCCCCCTCCAATTGTTTTGGCCGCATCCCACATTTTAAAACATTGCTATGACCAGACAAATCTTTGTACTCTTAGCTTTGCCCCATATATCAGAATGAATCACTGTAAATGGAACAAGTCTCCATTTGTCAACTCTAGAAGACTAGAACAGAATGACACCCTATTGGCAGGTTTCTGAGAGGCAAGAAAGGCAAGAAGCACAGGAGTGCCTGAAATGGCAAGGGTGGTAGTAGAAGATGAAGAGGGAACTATAGATTGCTATACTTGTTTAACAAGTTTGCAATATTCTTTTACGAAAAGAACAAGTCACCAGCAGAACCTGACTATTGTTGGCGCTTGGTAGGTCGATATAGATAAACGTCGTCATTGATGGGAGTTGATCTTTCCATGTATAGAATGGTACTTTGGATTAATGCCATACAAAAATTTGGCAACCCTAAATTCTTCATGCAGCCTCTTCTATAATTCCTCATCACGAGATATAGGTTGATATAGATTTAGCCCTTCCCACATTCCCCTGAGGGTACTATAATACTCCCTCACACTATTATTACCTTGTTGCAATTGGAACAGTCCCCTGAGAGATGTTTTTATTTGATAAATATGTTTCTTTCAAGGCGTCCCAAATTTCTCTAGCCATGTAAAGAAATATCACATTGGCACTGACTTATTTGTCCACAACCAGGTCATATTTATGTAATTCTCCCTCATCCACTCTTTATATCTACTATCAGATTTACTTGGCTTGTCACGAGTCAAGTATTTCAGTTTCCACCTTGCACCAAAGGATATTTTGACAAATTGAGTCCATACATCATAATTAGAATCATTTAATTTTACCGAGGTGATTTATGTCCCAACAGTTTCAGGGAGACTGAGGATTCCAGGTTTAATTTCCATATCCATGAACATATAAAATAAAGGGGAAATAGGACAACTGGAATCAACAAATTGCAGTCACTCACACAAGCCTAGTACAATGTTGGGAACCACTTAGAAGGATAGAGATACTTATCCTTCAGATCTGCTCATGTTCTCACACTTTAAAGAATTAGGGCACACATCTGAGCATCACCATGCTGCCATTATTGAAACTAGGTCACGATCTCTCTATATATCTTGATCTCAAAAGATAAAACACATATATAGCAGTATAGACTGGCGGCAACTTGATACTATGTCACAATCTCTTTGTAGATCTTGACCTTGAAAGATAAAACACTAATATAGCAGTATAGACTGGCAGCAACTTGAAACTATGTCGCAATCTCTTTGTTGATCTTGATCTCAAAAGAGAAATCACACACACAGCATATCGCCACACTAACAGCAAATGCACAGTCTTCTGCACACAAAACCCTGGGAAACGACGCTAGGGTTTAGATTGAGCAGTCCTAGATCAAACAGTCCTAGGGATTTATGATTAAAAAAGGTAAAAAAAAAATTTAGGGCAAAGAAGATAGAGAAAGAATGAAGAAGATGATAGAGACAAGGATTTAGGCGTGTTTGCTCTGATGCCATGTTAGAGAATCTAAAGAAAGAAAAGAGAAAGAAGAAGAGAGAGAAGATGTGCGAGGGAAGACAGAGGATCCTTGTTCCTCACACACCTCTAAAGCTAATATTTATTAATAAGACATATGAAAGGGCCTCACGCACCTCTCAAATTGATATTTATTAATAAAACATATGTAAGGGCAAAACTGCCCATACAAACAACTTAGGACACATAGGTTCTAAAACATATATAACAAGTGATTTCTAACAGTTAACAACGTAAACAACTATATCAGATCAAGTGGAAGATAGATAATACCTTCAACTTGCATTTTGACTTGGATCTGTGACTTGAACCATTATAGCTACAAACTTCTGAGTTTATCTAGCTGATTTTTTATGATGTTGATAGATTCCATGTACTCAGTTTTTGGGTGTTGCCTGACCGTAGCATTGATCATGTGATGTATTTTGTTTCTATTAACTAGAAACGTATTAGCTGGCACCACCTTTAATTTCCATCTAATATATGAACTTGTCAGGAACACTATAGACATTTGAAGGCTATAGATGGCAAAACAAAGCTTCAAACCCTTGCATTTCAATCTTCTAAGATCAGACTTTATCGTGGTTTGATCATTGAAGGGGATAATGCCATGCAGGTGGGCTTCTTTATGATCTTTTTCTCATAAGTTCTTAATGGAATGTTGTGTGCCTTTCTTTTTCTCTGTCAATTTGACATTCATCCAGCCTGTTATTAATTTTGTTTTCTAGACCATTGCATATATTGATTGAGTTTTTGCACAAAATGGTCTTGTTCTCATTATTCTACCTGCATCACAATTTCATTTGTTATTATAATTTTTTTGCCTTGAACATTTTAACTTGATTCTTAGTTCTAAAAAAAAAAATAATTTTTAACTTGATTCTTATTCAACAAATAAAATATAATAACTCCCAACATTCCTATTATAGTCGTCATTGGGTCCCTTCTTAAACTTGAAGGAGCAAACATTGTACCCTTTACTTACTAGTAAGGAAAAAATCCCACTTCTGGAGTCCAATTACGTGTTTTACTAGTTTGCAGCAAATTGGATGACTTATTTTATGCCTCTTTAATTTCCATAGGTCCTGAAGAGAGTCAATGCCCATGATTTTTTTTTTTCATTTCTAGATGATATGTTTAATTGTGGTTTTTGACCTTGCGTTGTATGTTTTGCAGGTGCTGGATTTTGCTTTGTTCCCAGAGCCCGAGTATGATGTACCCATATTTTGTGCAAGCTTCTTCACAGCCTCAAACACGAATGTAGTTGTTTTGTGAGTTTCTGATGTCATTTGCCATCGTAACCATTATCAGATCCTGCATGAAAACTTTCAGGAAGATTATTTGCTTATTGATATGTAATATCTTTGTCATTGGTTATGTGTGCATTGGCAAATGTTATTGAAGTTTTGCATAATTTAACTTCTTCACAGCCCCTAACATGAATATAGTTTTATGAGTTGCAGATTTTTGTTTGCCATCTTAACCATTATCATATCCTCCATAAAAACTATCAAAAATATTTTTTGCTTATTTATATGTAATATGTCTTTGTGATTGGGTATGTGTGCATTGGAAAATGTTATTGAAGCTATTAAAAGTCCTTTTTTTCCGTCTTTATTTATCTTTTATTTAAGTTAATAGGACCTATATGTCCTATTTCTGTGGGCAGTTTTGCTATTTCTCAAATTTTATTAATATAAAAGAGATTTGAGAAGTGCTTGAGATCTATTGGACTCTCACTTCACACTCTCTTCTTCTCCCTTTTATCTTTCCATCTCTCTCTCCCCCTTCTCTAACATGGTTTCAGAACATTAATCCTTTTTTTCCCCCTTGCTTTTATTCTCTACTGTAACTATTTTTTTCCTATTGCTTTTATTCTCTACCCCAAAAAATAAAAGGCTACTTCCTAGGGCTTGTGGGCAACTGTGGATGATTCACTGGAGTTCTCTCAAAAAGCTAAGTTTTTCATGCGTATAGGTGCTGCACATGTCTAATAAAAAAGTACTGATGGTGATGCTATGAATTTGGATAATGTGGTGTTACCCCTAGTGTGTTCAATTGTGAGAAAGTGACTATTCTCAGATCTGAATAATAAGTCTCTCTCTCTCTCTC